GAAAGAGGAGGGATAATCCTCCTGCGTTGCAGGATCCGGAGGGATCCCGAGGTCACAGAGCTGCAGAGAGACTGGCAAGCAGGGAGCGAGAAGCAGAGAGCTACAGTGACACCCACACTCCACTCGGCAAAGCCCCCTCTCACTGTCCCCATGGCCATGAGAAGCCAGGGCAGGACACGCTCAATTTCTGCCCGCAAACTGAGGCCATCAAGCCCTTCCTTAGGGCTCCCTTAGCGATTCCCCGCTCCTTTCCTTGGGATGCTCAAGCCATGCACGTTAACGAAGCCGCCGGCAGCTCTCGGCAGCACACGGAGGAGAGAGGAAATCCAGCTCCGCAATCCATGTCCCTGCACCACCAATGCCAAGCTGTCCCAGTGGAACAAGGAGCACAAGTTGGTCGACATCCACAACACCCCGAACTGCAGGATTTTACCTGCCCTCCTGCCAGGGCCACAGCTCAGCAGAGCCCTCGGAGCCCGGCCGGCCGGGACGGAGCTGCGGAGCTCAGCATCGCACCCAAGGGCCACACAACGGGGCTTTTCCCCTGTGCTCGCTGCCTTGATCCGGCTCCCCGCGCCCCGGCAGCGCGAGCTGCACGCAGCGAATCCATGGAGAGGCAGCACCCCCGCCGCCCCGCTCCTTCCCTCCCATCCCCTTCAGGCGGGTTCCTCTCCCGCGTCCATCGCGGTATCCACGTCTCCAGGGTGCTGCAGGGTGATGCGGAAGCACATGCTGTTTGGCAAACCTGGCAGCCTGGGAGCCTGGCTCTCCCAGCACTGCCTCCGCTCTGCCTCCAACACCAAGGGAATGGAAAGCACCAAAGGGCTTTCCCAGTTTGAGGAGAAATCAGCAGCCCTGCTTTGCCACGTCCCAGGGGCCACAGGGCTAACCTCAGCCCAGTGCCCCTTTTCCCTTGCTCTGGATGCTCCAGGAAAAGCAGCAAGTACAGAAACAGCTGGGGCAAATCCCAGATGCTGCCAAGACCAACCTCAGCACCAGCGACTGCTTGGTGCCGTCTGAGGCACCGTTTGCAGCTCTGCAGTCAAAATGAAGCTGCTCTCATCTAACCAAAAAAGCATTGGTGGAAGTCAGGTCTGCGCTCAGAAGAACTAATGCAATAAAGAAAGAACAGCAGGAGACAGAGAGGACAGAAGGGGAAAGCAACCACGTCCGAGGAGCCCGTCACAGAACCCCGTTTCCTGCATGCCAACGTACCAACACACCGTGTCTTATCGGTGTGGGCACGCACACATGGCAGGAGAGACCTACAGAGTTTACGCTCTCATGTTTTCAAGCTGATATTTTAGCATGGAGAGGATCCGCCTGCCAGCCAGGTGACGCAGCATCCCATGGAAAACGGCCGATCCAAGTTCTCCGTGTTCTTCCAGGCCTCAAGGAGAGGCCAGCACTGAAGGGACCTCAGCTCCACGGTGGTTCTTGCACACTGTTAGCTTCTGACAGGCAGCATCCTCTCTGGAGGAAGGCCCTCAGCAACCACTCCCAGCAGAAGACTGCCTGATCTCAATACACAACGTTGAAAATGTGTCTTTTCATTTTTATTTCTGTTGCCTCTCATTTCAGTTGGGAGGGAGGCTTTATGAAAGCAGGTCCCCAGGACACCACGGGGACACCACTGCACCATTGTGGCACAGAGATGCTCAGTGCTGCTCCCAATGACTCACCCAGCAGAGCGAGGGGACACCCCATCGCATTACGACACCCTCCTTTGAGGTTTTGAACCTGATTCCCTGGTTTTCACTAGCCCAGTTGTTGTCCTTTAATCTGATCTCGTTCGCTTTGCTGAGCTGCCAGGCAGTGCATTATAACGGTGCTGATCTGCTGCTTTCATGAACATTTCAATCAATACCTCCTCCTTTCAAGTGCAACTGCGAGCTCTAAGCCCAAATACAAATACGCTGAGTTTCAAGATGAGCCATCAAAGGGGGGACAAGGAGATCACAGCTCACTGCTCAGCGACCCTCAAACAACAACGCGAGCAGCAGCGCGGGCGTCTCGGCGACCACGCGGCTGTTGTGTGGAAGCACAAGCGAACGAGAGACGCTAAAGTTGCCCCCAGCTTAGCTAAAGGAGCCACTTCTGCTCCCCAGGGACACGTTTTGACTGCAAAAAATGGTGTGACCCCAGCAGGTGTGAAGCTTACCTCATCACGAGCAGGTTAAGGGCAGGTTCCCCGAGAGAGTGGGGAAACTGTGCAGAAACCCACATCCTTGGAGGAGCAGAGGGCTGTGGGGATCTTCTCCCACAGAGATCCAAAAACTTCACTAACAGACCTAAATACCTTCCATAAAATAAAGGTAATCAGAGATGATCCAGAGCCACATCTGCTCTCATTTATGCAAATTCCCTTCATTATCAGGGGATCACCAGCTAGAACTGTGAACTCATTGCACTGTGTTATAAAGAAGCATTTTGCTTGCTCTCCAGGACAGCTGCATGGAAAAGCTGTACACAAAAAGCAGGTCACAGGCTGCTACAGACCAGTTGCGTTTTGCTTGACGATAGCCCCACGTCCACTTACCATCTGTGCCCAGAATGACGCAGGGATGACGCTCTGATTGGAGAGCTGCAGCGTGCGGGAGACATCTCGTAGAACTTGGATATTGCCAAAATCAAGCTTATTTGGATGCACGTAGATGACCGGCCCTTCTCCAGTGCTCACTAAATGGATCTTCTGCTCCCAGCAGCGCGTGGAAAGGACCAAAAAAACCCAAAGATTAAAAAAAAATTAGCTCAGAATAGTGTTAGACTCTGGTATAGCCACAGCTGTTGGAAACTTTTGGTGTTTAACACGGATATAGAAGACCTGGAGAAAGCCTGGAATTTAGAGCAATCAGAACAGCAGCATCAGGAATAAACAAATCAGCTTCCCAGGCTTGCTGTCTCCTTCACGCTCCCACTTCCTCCACGCTCAGGCGTCTCCTTCTTCTACCCCACACCCAATCCTACATCTTTTGCTGCTCAAGCCATCTCCAGTGGCTTCTGCCATTGCACAGCTACCCTTGGAGGGGAGCGCTGCAAAAGTCAACCAGCCAAGCAGGCTCCTCAGAGTAAGGATCACGCAAGTCAGTTGGCTCTGAAGAGAACTTAGGGGTATTTGTGGTGCTATGTGAATAAGCAGCATTAATTATTAATTGCATCTTTCAAGCAGTATTTTTCTCTTTTGATGGTCTGAGGCCCTGAGCTTTCATTCTTGCAGCGCCACAGCAGCCTCAACCAGAGGAGGACTGTGGACCCCTCTGCTCAATCACCTTCTCACATCGTTAAAAACAATGAGAACTTATTCAGTCTTGGTGGATTTCATCAGACCCAAATACCCAGCACTCAAACAGGACTTGAATGCCCAAACCCCCAGCACCGACAAGCTGCTGTACTCTTCACTGGAGGGCACAGAGGATAACTTAACCACAAGCCCAGTCTCTTTGATGTAAACCCTTTAATGATGTCTAACTTGAGGAAAGAGCATTGACAGCTGTCAGAACTAGTAGCCCTGCTCAGCCAGAAGGAGCATCGGCCATAAACGCTCCTCTCTCTGCAGGACATCACTGTGAAAGAGCCAAAAACCCATGTACCAAGGGTGGAACCTCCAGAACAACAAGCTGAAGCTGCCCAAGATGATGGAGCTTTTATCCTTCAGAGAGGGCTGAAGTCTGTGATACTGCCCATAGCCTCTTCCTGGAAGGAAGAGTTTAGTAGTGGAGCTGGAGCAAAGAACAGTGCCTTTGCCTCTTGGGTGAATCCAAAACTAGAGGAGCAAAGGCTGGGCAGACCCCTCTGAGGTGAGCAAGGTAATGAGCTCCCACTGCCAAGTGCTGTCCCTCCCAGCAGGGCTCTGGATGAAAGAATTGTAAAAGAAAGAAATCACCCTAAAAGTCTCTGCAGACTGATCTCAGCGGCTGAAGGCACATCCTAAGTCAACAGGAGCAAGCTCATATTTTTCTTTTATTGGGACATACTGCAGTGACTCCTCTGAGGTCAACAGATTTATACCATTTGACCCATATGGCAAGAATCTGCTATCAGGACAGGATATATAACAAGAGCTGGCTGTTCTGCTAGCCTGGAAAGCTCTGGCCCGGCATCTACTGACGTTGATACCCAGGCTGCAGAGCAGTCCCACTGAAAATGCAAAACTAGCACCCAGCCCAACAGCAACAACGTACATATGCACTCAAGTATATGCTGCCTATATGCCCAGTGGGGTTTCTGTGAGCACTCTCTGGGTGCTAGCAGCAATTGAGCATAAATGCTGCCCGTTAAAGATTGACTTAATTGGCACACATGATTTTGATCTTCTGCTATTTATTTCCTTAGAGACTGTGAGGATTGTGCAGTTGAAAGGGTCTCCCTCTGGGCTAAAGACTGACATGTTAATGTCCAAATAAATAACAATCGTTAGAGTAAGGTGAAGGCTGAAACTGCAGTTCGTTAACCCAAGGGTAAAAGCTTTACAAGAGCACTGCAGTTAAAAAAACAAACCAACAGTTAAAAAACTAGGTTATCCTAGAAGAGAAACCCTCTTTGAAGGGAAGTGTGCTTTGTCATCCTGTTGCCTGGTTCACATTCAGCTCCACAAAGGCCTAGGTTGAGATGCTCACTGCCATCCAGGGGATTCTGCAGCATCTTCTCCACTCACTGTAATGCATATTTAAATCCCCTGGACTGCTTTCAAAATGCCAGCCTTCCTCTCCTATAGAAAGCTTAAGGATCCCAGCAATCCTCTGACATCCTATTTCAAGCTCCGACACATGACAGGACATTTTAACATAGCTACTTCAAAAGTTAATATCATTTTAAATTAAAGTTTAATTAGCTAAACTTGTTCTAGAACTCAGCTAGATGAAGCCAATACACAACAAGACATTTCCCTGCCTACATCCTGCTGCTGCTGCTTGCCTGAACACAAGCAACATCTTTCAGGGGGCTCGAGTCCAACAACCCTTTGCCTCGTCCATCTCCAGTTTGGTAGATTAGTCTCTGTGCTCTGGCTACAGATTGTGTGGAGACCCACGTGTCTTCAGTTGTGGTTTGCAGTAGAGAAATGATGGAAACTCCAGACATGATGGGCCTGACGTTCAGAAGAGCCTAAACGTGGTCTATCTCAGAACATCACACAGGTAAGTGTTTCTTAAACACTGGTAGCAGGATTTAGGCATGTCCCTGCATCACTCAAATTGAAATTTTAATGAAGCAGGAGCAGCTACTTATCTAATATCACAGCAGAGATGCAGAAACCGTTCTGGGTTTAGGTTTGGGTTCATCTATCATCCTGTGTCACAGACCCAGGGGAACAAGCAGTGTCACATGCTTTGGGCTGTACTGACTGCGTAACTTTTTCTACATTCATATTGCAAGACCCAGTCCGGTGAGATGCCAATTCCCATCCCTTCCTTTTTCTTCATGCAGAAAGGAAGTCCTCAGCACACAGTAGGATCTGGTCCCTATCCGTGTTCTCTCCTCCTTACCTGATTTTTTTCCAGACTCATTTCTTGTTTAACAGCACAGGAGGCCATTAGCAGCCCACTCAGTACCTGCTGTGCCCTGCCAAAACAAGTCACAGGGACAACAAGCACATCTCTTGGACTCACCAAAGGGGACCCTTCACTCCCGAACACCGCGACGTGCACAATTGTGTCTTGCTCTCCCATCACTTGGGCTTCCAGTGTAAATGGGATCTCCACAGAGCTGCGAGGTGCAATAATCCCACAAGGCTGGGGGCTGAAGTACCACACAGCAGCAGCATCCTTGTGCTCCTGGAAGGAACAGAACCAAAGGCAGCTGCAGAATGACCTTTGGGGAAGCTTTAAACAACTTGATATTTACACCAGTGGCAATTTAACACAATATTTTTAAAGAAGTTCTAGGAGAAAGCAGAAAGCAGCAAAACTAGATGCAAAGCTTCAAGTTTGAAATCCTCAGGAGCTCCAAAACCAGTCGTGGGGAAACAGCTCCTATCCCACAGCTGAAGGTGCCCAGACTGCTGCATCTCAGGCTCTTGGTGGCTGTCACGGGACAAGCAACAATCACCCTCAGCACCTCCAGGTGCTCTGGCTGCCACCGAACACCCCAGGGACCAGGAGCTAGTGTCCCTTGAGGTAAGAGGAGACTCATTTCTCTCTGCAGTGCTTGACAAAAGTGAATGGTAGATGCCCCTTGAGCAACTCATCTGGCTACTGAAACTCTTCGAGCCTCCTGTCACCCATGAATGACACGGGGCAGCTGTCAGAAGGCTGCAGGCTGTCCCCTTTGAGAAGGGATGGCCCCTGGACACAGAAGCCCTAGGGACTTTTCCCCTGGGAACTCCCCCTGTCAAGAGAGGCAAAATTTGTTGAAAACAGTTTGGTACCCATAGGGCCCCCTCCTTCGGTGGCAGCTTCTTGTGACCTTGCACCTCAACAATTAGATTATAAATGTATTCCTCAAACCTAACGCAGAAGTTTTTCTACCAGCGGGGATCTGGCAAACACTCCGGTGCCTGGGACATTCCAGCAGGCTCCCAGCCCTAGCAAAGCCCCCGGTCACAGGCGAGCAGGGTGGGTGGGTGCAAAGCCAAACCTGCGGCAGGGCCCCGTAGCAGCCGGGCAGGTCGCTGTCGTTCACGAGCGTCAGCGTTTGCTGATAAGGAAATTTCAGGAAGCACCGTCCGAAGCTCAGAACAGGGTTGAGCGCCTGCAGTGGAGGAACTACACATCTAGACACAGAGATGACCAAGAGAGCATTAGAGATATCAAGCGAATGCAGAAGTTGCTTATTCCCCAAAGAGGTTGAGACAGAGCGGAACATATTTATCTCTGTCAAATAGACACTTAAAACCCCCCACGGCAATAAATCATCTTTAATTTCTTTTTTATGCACTTTTTAAGTCAGCAGCCTCTCTTAAAGGTGTGCCCAGCTCCAGGTCTCAGCCTGGCAAAGGGCTCAGCACTTGCCAGAGCAGCTGAGCACTCAAGCAAGGTGCCGTGCCCCATCCCTGAGCCCATTGGTGCCGGGAGCCGCGTTGTGGACCCTTCATCCAGGGGACGATGCCCTTGAGCATCCCACAACCTGTACGACCTCCACACTGTGCCCCTGTGGTGCATCTCAGCCATCCCCACCAGGCAGGAGCTTCCTCCCAGGGCAACGGCCCTCATGGCACCAGACGAGGGCCAAAGGACACAAGACTCCAGCATCTCACTACAAGCAACTCGTCTTCCATAGAGCAGGTGCCCCTGCCCCAAGATTCAGGCAGCAGCGGAGGGCACAGCCCAGCTCCTGCTCTACGCAGCGAGTGACGCTCCGTCCTCGGTCTCTACAGCGACCTGCTGTGGCACCTCCATGGGTTCCTCAGCTCTCTGCTCCCCTCTGCCCTTATCCATTTCATTTTCCAAAGCTGATTCCAAGCACCGTTAAACGCATGGCCCTGCTGGGGAGAGGCGGCAGCACCCTGGAGCCCTCTGCAAGCAGGGGACCGCCGAGGCACAGAGATGACTTGTCCTGCCCTGCAACCTCACAGCAACCCCCAAACCAGCCCAGCTCAGGCGCTGCAAGCAGACAGCACATCGCAAGGCGCTGAAATCTTATGAAAATAACATCCCTCGGGCTGTTAGGCCCTCATAAATAAATAAATAAATATATAGGGCTAACTGCATCCTTGCTGTAATTAAACTGACAACTAACACAGCACAACGGGACGGATTCTCTCTTACCTGGCTACAACCAGGACAATTTTAGGCTTGAATCTAAGCATGCTATTGGTCAAAGAACTGGAGGAAGGCAGAAAAACCCAAATTCGCCCCTCACAACGAGGCCAAAAACTTCTTCATTAACACCTGGCTTTCAATCTTCCTCCACCAGTTCTGCCAGTGCCCTCTTCTCCACTCAGCTGCCACCCAACCAAGGACCAACGCCACGTTTTGGTCCCAAGCCCAATTCTGACCAACGTGAAAGGAGGTGGCTCTTTGGCTAAACGCTCAGGAAATCTGCTCTACCTCAAGCACAGAAAAAATCAGGTTGACAACAGATACAACCACTGCTCCCCAAACAGCAGCCCAGGGCCGCTCCTGCCCGTCGAGCAACACGTGCTGCTTTCCAAGCGCTCCCATTTCCATGTCTGATTTAACGCCGATGGGGCATCCGGGCAGGCAGAACGAGCTCATCGAGTTGCTCTCCCCACACAGAGATGCAACGAAGGAAGAGGGGCCGCGAGGGCAGCACCGCTACCTCGCTGTGAGGAGCAGCGCCAACACCTCCTGGCCGACACCGTCCACATCCACCACCAGGGCCAGCTCGTATTTCTTCACCGTGTTGGAGCACAGGGAGACCTGGCAGAAGAGAAGAGAGTCAATGCTTGGTCACTGCCCCAGTCATCCTCCCTCCATGTGCCACAGGGTCTGTGGCACGTGGGGAGCGCTGCGGGGAGCCCCCCAGGCCTAGGCTACGTACAGCCCTCCCAAGGAGCTGGCCACTGGGCTATAAAGCACGTCCCTGCACTAGCAAAGCACTTCGGTCCCAAAGGGGTGAGGGGCCAGGATGCAATGCAGGTGACCCCAGGAAATCCTCTTTAATGAAGTGACCCCAGGGAATCCTCTTTAATGAAGTATCAACCCACATGGCTGAGCAGAAGCCAAAACAACGCAGCGTACAATAACTGCAAATGGGAAACTAAACACAGGCCAGCTTTGTGCCGTATCGAGGAGGTGGCTTTTGCCACTTGACTTGCTATTGGGACACAGATGCTCGTCGCCTCCTGAGACAGGAGGAACCGTGTTGTCACCACGGGTTCCCATCGCACAGGGCCTAGCCCCCATCCCAGAGCGGAGGCAGCACTCGCAGTCTGTGACCATGGCCACATGGGCATGAGGCGGGCGACGCTCCCTGCCACCAGTTTTCTTCGTCAGCTTTTACCTGCTGCTCCATGAGAAAGCGACCGCGCTGCCTCAGCCCATTTGGGCATGAGCTCACAGCTGAATAATACCTTAGACTTTCCTGAAGAGCAGAGACCCTGCGGAGCTCTCAGTGGGAAGAGCTGTTCCCAAGCAAACACATCTCTAGTCATTCTTTCCTCACCTTCTTTTTTTTTTAAATGAAAAAAAAAAAAAAGGCTGACGAATAACAGAGCTGAAAGCAGCAGATCAAGCGTGGCTCTGCGTTACAAAAGAGCTTGCGTAGAGCCAAGACTTGCAGGGAGCCACTCCACTGCCAGCAGTGCCAATGCCACCCTTGTGGCCCATCAGCCTAAACAACCCAAACCTCCAGCCCAGGGTCTGCGTGTGCCCCATGCCACACTCTGCTGGGCCAGGGCCACCAGCCCCAGGGCCTCCCCGGCAAGTTCTACAGCTGGAGACACTACAGCATGGGGAGAAAGAGTCACTGCACAGGACCAGCACAGATCCAAAGGAAACCCATTGACTTGAACCAAGAGTATTCAGCTTTCATTGGGAAGCCGAGAACAAAACACGACCCAGCAGAGGCTGGGCAGTTCATGGCTGCCACAGCTTTTATTGTCCCCATTAGATATCACTGCGGTGAACCTGACTTCCTCTGCTCAACAGGAGAGCGAAAGCAAGGCTGGGAAGAAAAGACGTATTTTACTTTAAACTGTGACATCGCTGTTTTCAGCAGCCACCTTCTGTCCTTCTTCTTCCTCTGCCCACTTTAAACCCAAGAAACTCCTGCGAGAAACTCTTTGAATACATGAATGGCTTCTGTATTGGGCCAAACTACACGGGATCTTCGGTTCATGATTTTTGGAAACAAAAGTGTACTCCTTGAGAAATGTCCCCACAATCCACGTAACAAGCCTCACATTATTGTGCACATCTTCCTTGCACTGGGCTTAAACTAAAGTTCAGTCCTCTCCTAAATCAGCG